GCAGGCTGCTCGGAGCCTCGCTTACTCTTATCGCCTAGTACATATTATTATTGTGGTGATAAGGCAGGCTTCTCGGAGCCTCGCTCACTCTTATCACCTAGTACATATTATTATTATTGTGGTGATAAGACAGGCTTCTCGGAGCCTCGCTCACTCTTATCACCTAGTACATATTATTATTATGGCGATAAGGCAGGCTTCTCGGAGCCTCACTCACTCTTATCGCCTAGTACATATTATTATTATGGCGATAAGGCAGGCTTCTCGGAGCCTCGTTCACTCTTATCGCCTTGTACATATTGTTATTTCTGACGCCCATTCTAAGTCCTGGACCGTCCGGAAGCCTTAAGATCATTCAGGTAGGTCACACGGTACATGTACCTCATGTCTTAAAAACGTCTGCCCTGATCCTTGGCTGAGTTAGTTTGGACTTTTAGGAGTACATAGGCATAGGTTAGTCATAGGATAGAGGTTGTTTGAGGCAATCCATCATTTCAAAATCTGGTCATATCACTTACAAGTTCGACAATACACTTACGATCCCCATCTCTTTGTCTCACGGTCAGGTGACCTATAAGCGAGGGAAGATTGTCAGAAGTACAACTCCCTTCGTCCATCACATCTCAAAAGAAACATTCACGTAGCGAGAAAATGACTCGGCACTTCTCGTTCTCGCTACGTTTACCAACATCAGTGAGACAAACCCAGTTAGATCATGCTTTCCCTCCCTTACTCAAGCGTTATTGTTTGCCTTTCTGTCCTCGGGTTTAGCCATGAAGGATCCCTGACTCAACGTACCCTCTTTACTAACACAGTCATAGGTAGTTGGCTAAAGGTTGTAGATTTAGGGTTTAGGGCTTAGGGTTTATGTTGAAGCGCACGTACCTCACTGTTCCTTGCCTTCAGAGTTCCGCCCGAACTTCGACAGAGTTCCCGCAATCGCCCTGTTACTAGTCATGCATCTGAACTGACTAAGTATAAATTTCGAAATCTCTTGCATTTAAGTTTAATTTCAGCGGCGATTGAGAGCAACACTTTCACATCCATTTATTGAGAAGATCGGTGCGCGAAGGACTTAGTCGTAGGAAAGGCTAAGGGGTGAAGGAGGTAGAAGTCACATTCAATCCTCCCCCTTCTCCACTGCCTTGCACCCTTCCCACCAGGGTTGTCAGGCGGGGGCCCCGGGGGGCAAAGCCCGGGTAGGGGTTCGACCCCCGGACCCCAGCCGCCGGGGTGCCCCACCCCCGCCCACCACAAAACACCCCCGCCGGCGCCCGGACACCCGCACCCCCAGACCCAGCACCCGCACCCCCGGACCCGACACCCGCACCCCCGCTGACCCGGGCCCCGGACCCCCGC